ATGGAAAAAAGATAGTCTCTTCAATAAATGGTGTTAGGAAAATTGGACAACATAAAGAAGAATGAAACTGGACCATTCTCTTACACCATACACAAAGATAAACTCAAAATGGATGAAAGACCTTAATGTGAGACAGGAATCCATCAAAATCCTAGAGGAGAACACAGGCAGCAACCTCTTCGACCTCAGCCGCAACAACTTCTTGCTAGACATATCTCCAAGGCAAGGGAAACAAAGGCAAAAATGAACTATTGGAACTTCATCAAGATATATATCTTTTGCACAACAAGGAAACAGTTGACAAAACCAAAAGACAACGAACAGAATGGGAGAAGATATTTGCAAATGTCTTATCAGATAAAGGGCTAGTATCCAAAATCTATAAAGAACTTATCAAACTCAACACCCAAAAAACAAATAATCCACTGAAGAAATAGGCAGAAGACATGAACAGACATTTCTCCAAAGAAGACATACACATGGCCAACAGACACATGAAAAAATGCTCCACATCACTTGGCATCAGGGAAATACTAATCAAAACCACAATGAGAGGGACACCTGGGTGGCTCAGTTGGTTAAGCGACTGCCTTCGGCTCAGGTCATGATCCTGGAGTCCCAGGATCGAGTCCCACATCGGGCTCCCTGCTCAGCAAGGAGTCTGCTTCTCCCTCTGACCCTCTTCCCTCTCGTGCTCTCTATCTCTCATTCTCTCTCTCTCTCTCAAATAAATAAATATCTTTAAAAAAAAAAAATACACAATGAGATACCACCCCACACCAGTCAGAATGCTGAAATTAACAAACAGGAAACAACAAATGTTGGTGAGGATGTGGAGAAAGGGGAACCCTCCTACACTGTTGGTGGGAATGCAAGCTGGTGCAGCCAGTCTGGAAAACAGTATGGCAGTTCCTCAAAAAGTTGATAATACAGCTACCTTTTGACCCAGCAGTTGCACTACTAGCTATTTGCCCCAAAGATACAAATGTAGTGTTCTGAAGGGGCACCTCTACCCAGTGTTTATAGCAGCAATGTCCACAATAGCCAAACTATGGAAGGAGCCCAGATGTCCATCAACAGATGAATGGATAAAGAAGATGTGGTATAGATATATACATTGGAATATTACTCAGCCATCAAAAAATGAAATCTTGCCATTTGCAATAACGTGGATGGAACTAGAGGGTATTATGCTAAGCGAAATAATCAGAGAAAGACAGTTATATGATCTCACTGATATGTGGAATTTAAGAAACAAAACAGGATCATAGGGGAAGGGAGGGAGAAATGAAACAAGATGAAATCAGAGAGGGAGACAAACCATAAGAGACTCTTAATCATAGCAAACAAACTGAGGGTTGCTGGAGGGGAGGGGGGTGGGGGGATGGAGTAACTGGGTGATGGACATTGAGGGCACGTGATGTAATGAGCACTGGGTATTATGTAAGACTGAATCACTGAACTCTACCTCTGAAACTAATAGTATACTATATGTTAATTAATTGAATTTAAATTTAAAAAATATATTTAATCTCTTGTAGACAGTATACACTTGGGTCTTGTTTTTCATCCAGTCAGCTACTGTGTCTTGTGACTGGGAGTCTGTTTTATATTTGAAATAATTATTGATAGGGAAGGACTTACTGTTGCCATTTTGTTGTTTTTCGTATGTCTTATAGCTCTTTTGTCCATCTTTTCCTTTCTTGTTGTCTTCCTTTGTGTAGTATTGATGTATTTTTGTAGTGACACACTTTGATTTCCTTCTCATTTTCTTTTTGGTATCTTCTGTAGGTGTTTGTGGTTACTATGGGGCTTACATAAAATAACTTATAGGCTTAATAATCTATTTTAGGCTGATAACAACTTTAATTGCATACATAGTCTCTATATTTTGTTAGTGATGTACAGATTACATATTTTTATATCATGTATCCATTAATACATTTTATAGTTTTAGTTATTTTTTATACTTTTATCTTTTAACATTTATGCTACAATTAAGAAATGATTCATGTACCCCCACTACAGTATTCAGTGTTGTGTATTTTTCTGTATATTTACCTTTACCAGTGAGCTTTTACTTTCAAATACTTTTGTGTTGCTGTCTAACATCTTTTCATTTCAATTCGAAGGACTCCCTTTAGTATGTCTTGTAAGACAGGTCTAATGGTGTTTAACTCCCTCAGCTTTTGTTTATCAGGGAAAGTCTTTATCTTCTTCATTTTTGAAGGGCAATTTTGCTAGATACAGTATTTTTGGTTGACAATTTGTTTTTAGCTCTTCAAACATACCATTCCACTCACTTCAGGCTTGCAAGGTTTCTATGAGGAATCTACTAATGGTCTTACAAGGGTGACCTTGTATATGAGGAGTCACTTTTTTCTTGCTGCTTTCAAAATTCTCTTTTTGTCTTTAATTGTTGACATTTTGATTATGTGTCTCATTGTGGAGTTCTTTAGTTTCAGCCTATTTGGAATATGTTGGATTTCACAAATCTGTATGTCTCTTTCCTTCCTCAGATTTGGGAATTTTCTGGCCATTATTTCTTTAAGTAAGTTTTCTGCCCCTATTTCTCCCTTCTTTTGAGACTCATTATGTGTATATTGGCGACTTGACGTTGCTGTATAAGTCCTTTAGATTTTCTTTACTCTGTTTCATTTCTTTTTCCTTTTGCTCTTCTAACTGATGATTTCAAATGACTTATCTTTGGGTTCCCTGATTACTTCTGCTTGATCAAATCCATTGTTGAACTCCTCTAGTGAGTTTTTCAGTTCAGTGATTGTCTTCTTCAGCTCCAGAATTTGTTTGGCCTTTTTTATATTTTCTCTTTGTTTTGTTCATGCATTATTTTCCTGATAGTGTTGAGCATCTTCGTGACAGTTATTTTGAATAATTGGTCAGTAATTCCTCTACTTCCATTTCTTTATGATGTGTTTCTAGAGATTTCTTTTGTTCCTTTAATTGAATAATTTTTTCCTGTCTTCATGTTCTTTGTAACTTTGTGTTGATATCCACACATTTGAAAAAAATAGCCACCTCTCTCAGTCTTCATAGACTAGCTTCATGCAGGGAAAGATCTTCACCACTCAGACCAACTAGAGATCCTGGGGACACATCATATCTTTTTTGTGAGTACATCTGTCTGAACTTGTGTGTGAAGATTACAGGGTTTTGCTGGTTTCTAATTTTTCAGGAGTTCCTAACCTCTTGCTCTCTTTGCTGTCTGTCTTCTGTACCCTGGCACTCTGAAGCAGCAATACACCAACCAGATCTTTTATTTTTTTTTTCCTCAGTAGCCTTTAGGTATCTAGATTTTGCCAAGTTCTGTCAGTTCTCTGAGACAGGATGGCCATAAACCAGAATGTTGGGCAGCCCACTGAAAGGCCAGGAAGTTTGACACATGTTCCACTCTTCTTTTTCCACACTTAAGGAGACACTTCTGAGCTGTATCAACCTGCTGGGACCTCTGGATCACCAGCACCCTGCCCAGCTTGTTCTTAGAAGCCCCCATGCATCTATAGTATGTCAGGTCCCATCAGTACTTCAAGACAAGCAAGACAGAAGCCAGTCCCCCAGGCAGCACCCCTTCACATACCAACCAGAAGTCCAGTTGTTGGATATTTGGTCTACTCTTCTCTTTCCTTCCCCAGGGAAAAATGGAAGCTGAGAATTTCCTCCCAATCATGTGCTATTGCACTGGTATGGAGGGCAGACTGTGGTGAGAGCATGCCACAAATTTTCCTACTGACTTCAAAACAGCTGATTTTGTGCTCACCTAGAAGGCAGAAGTCTCTTAACTAGTTTCTGAATTTTTCATAATGGGAATTGGTCTTTGTATTGTTGTTCCTTGGGAGAAAAGAGGGTCTGGGTCTTCCTATTCCACCAGAACCCCTGGGTATTCTGTTTTATACATTTTTTTAAATTTATTGCATCATGCATCATTGCCTGGTAATAAGCATTGGTAATAAGATGTTTTAGAACAACAATCATAATAATGATTATATTAATATTGATTAAACCTTATAGAGCACTTCCTACATGTCAGGTACTGATCGAATGGCTTTATAGAGGTTATTAAATTCATTGAAGAGATATGAAAACTGAGGTACAAAAAAGTAAACTGTCTAAAGTTATGCACCTACATGGAGCTGGGATTCCAATCCAGGCCATCCATATCCATAGTCCACTTTCTCAAACCCTCTGAGATGATACGCAATACATTTGCTGAGGGGATCACTGAGTCCCAACCTGAATCTCCCATCTCCTTTTCTATGATTCACTGTTGGATCTGTTCTAGGAAACTGTTCTTTACCTTCTACTTGCATCTCCCCAGCAGTTTGGATTTAAAATTCCTCATGTACAACTTCCCATGCAGTGTACTCCTCCCCTTTTTTATTCTACCAAATGAGTTCCTCAACTTCTCTTACCGTCTTCATCTCAAATGTAATCAACCTTGACATGAAAATGGTCACTTGAATCCTAAATGCCGCTCAGTTCACTTCAGATCATAGCAACTCATCTTCAGGCTCAAGAATCTTTAATGAACCTGCAAAGTACTTTCATCTCACTTCACAAGTGGAAAGCTAAAGGAGAGTGAGCAACCACATTGGAATAGTAATAAAAACAAAGGCTTCATGATAGCTGTTCTAGCCATGCATTTTGGATATGAATTTATTTACAAGTGATTACATTTTAATATGGGACATTGAGTTCTTCAAATTTTTATAGGGACAACATTTTATTCTTTGTACACTAAAAACATAAGACATAATTTTAAAAATCTTTAAGATTCCATTTTGTCACCCTGGGAAGAATGACACTTCAGTAATTTTTAAAAGGCCTCCTCACTCTTACCAAGTAACAAGCATTAGGCTCATTGGGCCATGGAAGCATTCAAGTTTAACTGTAGTCCCATGCAACAGGATATAAATTCTATCCATCAAGTGCTCACAAAGAGTAATGATAAAATTTAAAGTTAATATTTATTTTTTTTGTTCTAGAAATCCCGAGCCATTCACTGCATACTTCCTACCCGGCAGTGATCCTGAGTTTTTTGTAAAACCTCAGGTTGGAGAACTTCCTCCTTTTGACACTGAAGGAACTGTCCTCCTTGTGGGTTTCAAACCCCGAATGTACAGTAGGAAATACAAAGCAACATTAGCAATACAGGTGAGTTCTTTGATGTCACTAAAGGCATGAAAGGAGAAAAGGTTTCACCCAAGTAAAGAATAGCAACATTACCTTGCAAAAGCCAACATATTTCAACTACTCTGTCTTGTTTTAATTTTCTTTTGCCCAGTAAAGAACTTGTAAATATGGAATATAGCAAAAAAGTTATCATCACCAGTGGGAAGTAAGAAATTATTTCTTTTCCATATTAAGAAAATGCAGGAGAGATAAATATTGACTGTAAAGTGATTTGTATATTCACATATTGTTATCTGTAATAACCCATTCAAGGACTTCAGGTGATTTGAGACAGAGATTTTGAAATCTTTAATTAAGGCATAAGGTACTGTCAAAATGTTAAAGTCGAAAATGAAGAAAATTAAATAGAAGATAAAACTGATTTTGAATTGAGAAAAACACAATGTAGTGAGCCATTAATATAAAAGTCTGCTCAAGTGATCATCTTATTAAAAGTAATGGTAAACACAATTTTGAAAATTTATGCAGTAAGCAAAATTTCTCCATCAAATTTCACACATGTATTTTACTAATAGCTTTTAGGCTAAAGAGAATTTTCAAATTATTTCTGAAAAGATGCCTATTGCCAGTATCTAGTTTCAGTAGCACAGACACAAAGGACATGTGGTTATGTTTCAAGACACAACCCCTGGTGCCAAAGTGATTAGTAGACTTCTAAATCAGACACTAATTAGGCAGTGCCATGGGCAGAAAAATGTGTTGTTACTGTTTTAATGAATAGAGAAAAGAATAATGTTGACTATGTCTCAAGAAAATTATTTATATTTTTCATCTTTCTGGGAATTCTTACAACCCAGGTAATAAAAATATAAAGCCTCTGGACCCTTGCTGCACATCGCCCTTTGCTATATAGATGCTTGATTTAAAATGATCATGTCGTACCTGCTCCTTAAGAATAAGGACATACTCTTACTCTAAGGGGATTAAATGACATATTTAAAGACAGGTTTACAAATGAAAATGATGTTTATTTCACCTAGTGAACATTTCTGCAATTAACTATGTTGGAGGCTTTCCCAACAAAATCTTTGCCTGGTTTCCCTATGTTGATTTGACAATTAAATCACTGGAAGCAGAATTAAAGGGTTTCTGTGAGAGAATAAGTTGACATATGGGATCAAATGGAAATGTGAAATTTTCATTTAGTCTGAAGTGGTGCAGTTTGATAAAGCTTATGTGGGGAAAATTGAGATTGTAATGTGTTTAAGAAATCACTATTTTGTTGATTCTATTTTTATTTTGGAAAATTCCAAATGTGAGTAGAAATGGAATAATTAATCTATATACATTCTTCTTCCAGTATGAACCTTATCAAATCATGGCCAATTCAAGTATATTCCCACCCCCTTCCCCATATTCCATATTATTTTGAAGAAAATCCCAGACATCTTATTTTCTTCAACTATTTCCTATTAATCTCTAAAAGATCAAAATTGTAACCATGATACCATTATCACATATAAAAATTTACAATAATTCCTTAATATCATGACATATCAAATATCCATTTAGTGTTCAAATTTCCAATTGACTCATAAATCTCATATTTTTTAACTTAAAAAAAGTATTAACTTACAAGAAGTTGCAAAAATAGTACATAGAGTCCTGTGAATCCTCCCAGCTTTTCCCAATGGTGAGATTTTATAGAGCTATACTACTATATTTAAATACTGTTAACTAAGCTAGAGACCTTATTTCATTTTCAGCATTTTTCACATATATTTGTGTGTGTGTGTGTGGTTCTAGGCAATTTGAACCCAGGTATAGATCTGTATAACTAGTCACAACTGAGATACAGAACTCTTCCAACACAACTGTGGGAACTGGTAACAATATGGAAACTGTGTCCTGCTAACTCCTTATGGTCACATCTAATACTGTAACTCCTTCTTTACCCTGGCAACCACTAACCTTTTCTCCATCTCTACGATTTTCTCATTTATAGAATATTACGTGAATGGAATCATACTCTATGTAACCTTTTGAGATTGGCTTTTTATGCTGAGTATAATGCCCTTGAGAGTCATAAAATTTATTGCATATTTCAAATCAATGACTTTGATATCACGGTTCAAACATTGTCTGATTCTAAAACCCTGCTCTTAAGGACAACACCATGATGTCTCACATGATAAATGTGAAGAATTTTAAAAGTTAATTCATTATCTAAATAAAAATTGCTGTGTACGGTATTATCATCTTTTTTAAACTGTTGATTTTAAGCATTAAATCAATTAATACTTATATATGAAACATATGACCTTCATTGTGCTTTACTTAGAAATAAAAATGAGGATCTTTAAGAACAGTTTAGTTAAATATTAACCTACAGAAACTTCAGCAACTACATTAGCAAGCTTCATGGGTTCCCTTTCAATTAAACCATATTTAGAATGATTAAAAACTGCTTTTTCCCTACTATTAAACAAGGCATATAGCACTAGCTTTGAGAGACTTAAGTTGACTTGGTCAGACTGTTACAAAAAAGCAATGTTACTCAAAGAGAATAAATAGTCCACTCAGCTTTCCATGGTGGACATGATAAATCTTAAATAGTTTATACAAAAATATGAAAGCTATCCGAATTATCCAAGATAAAACATATAATGCTTGTACAAAAGTAATATCTATGGACCTGTTAAAACTAGAGACATAATCAGATGTAAGTAATATGTATGTAAATGCATTGCTTTTAAAGGAATAAATCATTGTCATGAAACTGTAAGAAATGGCATTTTATTTATATATATAAATCTTGGTTTGTATTTTCTCTTAAGCAGACCTGAAATAGGGATTCGAATCCAAGTAGCATATTTCCTACATCATCTCAAGAAACAGATGCAGGAAAGCCAAGATATGAGACAGAAAAGGAATGGAAACCAATGAAGGGTGCTTTTTCAAGGCAATTACCACAGTGGGCATCTGGAATTTAATCCCATGGGATTTCTGTGGAAAATAGTGTGGAACACACTACAGAATATTTACACCTGATGGGGCTAGAGAGTTGGGGGGGCTGTTTTTTGTTTTGTTTTGTTTTCTCAAAAACTCATGAGTCAAGAGGTATAGATATTGGCAATTGGAAGTTGGGGCAGGCAATGAAATGGAAATACCTGAGGGATGTGGGTCGGCACAGCCCACATCTGCTAATGGGCTGTTTCCATTCATAAGAATGTGTCCTTTAAAGCATAGCTTTGAGCATTCATTCCGTGATCTTTGGCTTTGGCTGATCCCTTTTCATACTACAAAGATATTACTGAAATATGGAAATTTCATCTGTTTAAAAAATAGTTGTTTTTTTTTAATTTCTTTAAATAAGTAGTTGAGGAGTATAATTGTCAATTTGACATTCTTTTTTAAAACCAGCAGTGATTCTCAGAGGCACTAGTGACGTGGAGGTATTGATTTATTCTTATATTATTTTAACATAAGCTTTTTAATTTATATTTTCAAAAGGAGATTCAGAGTGGAAGACACAGAGCTATATCATTAAAGTATGTTCAAAAACACAATGAGTCACTGTATTTATTTACAACTTGAAGAAAGTTTAACTCTAGAAATGAGAACTGTAATATTTAATTTTTATAAAATAAACATATTCTTATTACCATATAGAGTGTTGGAATAAAGGACATGAATGACTTCTTACAAATTTATTTTATATTTGGATTATATATATTTATGTATATATATGTATATGTATACATATATATATACACACACACACACTCAGCATCACTTACGGCAGAATTATTTGAATGTTAATTGAAATGCATACAATAACATTTAGGATTTTAAAAATAGTGTCCTTATAAATAATTATTTTCAAAGGTTCTTGGAGATGTGTCAGGTGAAGGTACAAATCCCTACATGTCGTTCCCATTTGTACCTACTACATTCCAAATAGGAGTGTACATTCCTTCATGTAGCTCACTCCCAAGCACCACTGAGTGTTAGGCATAGGTGCAGTTCCTTTCAAGTACCTCATGCATATGTACTCATGAAGTGGGTCACCTGTAATGTAAAAATTTACAATGATATATGCACAATCACCAAAATGTAGCTTTGTTTTTCAAGTTGAGCATCCTATGTGAAGTAAAATGATATTTAACCTATACTCTAGTCTTTGGTTTGTTCTGCTTTTGACTCCTTGATTCAGAATACACAATTACTATGAACATTGGATAGAAGGGCCAGTTCTGATTAAAATAGGGTCATTCCAGGGCACCTGGGTGGCTCAGTTGGTTAAGCAACTGCCTTCGGCTCAGGTCATGATCCTGGAGTCCCAGGATCGAGTCCCGCATCAGGCTCCCTGCTCAGCAGGAAGTCTGCGTCTCCCTCTGACCCTCTTCCCTCTCGTGCTTTCTATCTCTCATTCTCTCTCTCTCAAATAAATAAATAAAATATTTTAAAAAAATAAATAAAATAAAATAAAATAGGGTCATTCCAGATGTGTAAGAAAGTCCTTCATTTACCATTCTTCGATTGATATCACATTACCCTTTAAGCCCTGGCTGATGTTATTGCAATATTCACTTAGCCTGGATTTATCCTAAATGAGTTTTCTGACCATACACAGTACAAATCTTCTTGTGGGGAAGAAGACCCAGATAAACACAACACCGGAAATTCTGTAAGAGCAGTGGGATTTAAGTATGAACATAAACATACAGAAAATGCTAGACTGTGTAATTTAATATTGCCATCCTGTGCATATATGCAGAAAAAAATGGATTTTTTAAATAAATCCCTAAGTTGTACTAACTTGGATTTAGATTATAACTGTCATTGATGATTTTACACAATTCTCAGGTATTTCAAATGGTTCGATTAATTATAGACTTTCATAATCTAAAAAACAGAAGCTCAACATATTTTACCAGTTGGTTCTATAGCCATGCCTAAATTGTCATGGATAAGTTCTTGCAAAGTGTGGTTTCGGTTAGTTACATAGTTCATGCTGGGCAACAGTTTCATGCAAAGAAAATAGATTGCTTCCCCTTAGATCAGATGGATGCTTATTTCACCTACAGGGCCGACCTCTAACTTTGAGAGACTTTTTAGTGAGTGGTTCTTAATTCATAAAGCTAAATGCTTTCTTGAATTTATTTCCCATGTTAATTATTTATTATGGGCACACTTTCAGTTTTGTACATTTCCCATACCTTGCATGGAGAAGAGAGACCGTATTAATTTGGTAAACTTTTTCCTATAGGTTTCTCAGTCCCTGAATATTTCATGTAAAATCTCTCCTCTCTTTGTTTTCAGACACCGGACATGTACTGGTTGTATGATATCAATGGATTACCTCAAGTTACCATGCCACCAATGAATGTAAAAGCCAAAATTGACACTACTAATGAGAGGTTTCAGAGCAAGCCCGTTCGTCGGCGCAATATTATCCGTGAAAATGCTAAACTCACAAGGACGGGGGTGTCCTCTACCATCAAGGGTGTGCCTTTGATGTTGAAGAATAAATAAATACTTTTTTCCAAAATATTTCTTGGCCTTGAGTAGAATTAAACATATTTTCATGATTGTTCTTTCATCTTTTGGAATATTTCTGATGAGTAATGTTTCAATTATAATAGGCCTTCTCTATTTTATTTTTTAAACTCTGACTATTTTGCACCTGATTTCTGTTATGTGTATCTTTTAAAATGGACTAGTTGCAATTATTGGGATTGGTTCACTTTTAAGGTATGGGGTACATTTGTAGTAAAAAAATGATTTCAACTTAAAAATCAATGCATGTAAGTATATGTAGTCCATCCACTCCTATATTGAGTCTTTAAATAATATAGATTTATTTCAAAGTGATCCTGGGGAAAATTCATTTTCTCAAAGTAAAGGAAAAGCATTTTGCTCGGTACTTATCATTCAGGAAAAATATAATAATAAATAGCCAATATGGACCATCTTGAAGAGAATTTGGCACAAAATGACTGGCTTTACCACAAATTATTCATTCATATGATTTTAAGGACATCACTTACTCTTTTTGTGCCCTGTTTTCTTATGTGCAAAACAAAAGAACTATACCAGGACAAGAATTGGCAGACTATAGATCTAGTCTACTGCCTATTTTTATATACCTACTAACAGATAAAGATTTTTACATTTTTAAATGATTGAAAAAATTAATAGAAGAATATTAAGTAACACAAGAAAACTGCATAAAATTCAAATTTCAGGGTCGCCTGGGTGGCTCAGTTGGTTAAGCATCCAGCTCTTGATCTCAGCTGAGGTCATGATCTCAGGGTCCTGGGATCAAGCCCCGCGTTGGGTTCTGTGCTCAGAGGGGAGTCTGCTTGGGATTCTTGCTCTTCCTCTCCCTCTGCTTCCCCCCCCATGCGTGCTCTCGCTCGCTCTCTCTCAACTACTAAATAAATAAATAAATAAATAAATAAACTTTTTTAAAAATTCAAATTTTATTGTCTATAAATAGAGTTTTATAAAACATTAATAAACATGTCTTCATGCTTTCCTTCTGTAACCCCGAGCTCCAATGGACGGAAACCATAGAGCTACAAAGTTTTAAATATTTACTCTCAGGTACTTTACAGGAAATACTTGGCAACCCTCTACTAGAGTAGGAATGGCCTTTAGGAACCACAGTAGGTTGATTATAATTTCTTCCCAAGGTGTTAAGTGGAACTGTAGGGACACATCTATGCCATCACTTAGTTTTGTCTGCAGGTATTGAAGTAGAGGAGAGTAGAGGCCCTTATACCTCAGATTTGCCATCCCCAAAAAGGACAAAAGCTAAAATTCTGTGAATCTCCAAAAGCCTTTCTTCTTCTCTGGCTCTCTAAAGATATTTTTTTGAGTAGAGTCATAGCTTATTTGTCTGTCCTTTCTTCTGCTGTACTGTGTGTGTGAGGAGGGGTTTGGTCAGTCTCTGAGTATATTTCTCACAAAGCCTTTATAAAACTTCCCCAAATGCTTAGGAAAGTAAAATCCCATTTGCCATGAACATATGGTGTTTATATTGGTGTTTTTATATTTTGGTGTTTATGGTAATACATAATATTTAAAAAATCTTAAACCTCTTATGTTGAGCCTTCACAATTGCTCTCCTATCTGAAATTCTCCAATAATTTGAAACTGTTGCACTGTATACTTTCCACTATTTCTTAGTCTGACACTTGTGAATATCAATGGTCCCTAAGACCGAAAGGCATCAAATTAATTCAGAGACTAGAGCAGTTACATGGGGGGTATGGCAAGTAACCAGAAAGCGGTCTAACAATATCCACAAACTTCTTCCTTATCTCTAGAGGACAAAGAACATGCTGTAGTGTGCTAAAGTTTATATCTTCATATTGAAAAAGGAGTTTGAAAAAGCAGTAGGAGGTTTTACTTGGAGTTTCTTATTTGAGGACCACAGTTTGCTCATTAGCAAGTGAATTGCCTATAGAATGAAAGATAAGATTTTTCTGGGAATCTAAAAGTTCCATGTGTGCTAAGACTGCACATTCTTAAATGTACATATGCTGATTTAGAATTTGTAGATTCTTTAAACCTTGATCAAATATCTATTAATTCACTTATGTGTTTATGCCCTTACTTATTAAACAGGTATTAAGTACTGCTCCAAGCTACTCACCCTTGATACAAAAACAAATGAACCCTGATCAGAACTTTCCTGCAAGTGCCCCCCTGACAGATGGAGAAGACAGATGTGAGCAGGTAGTTTCCAGAACATATGGAAGGTTGAGACCTTGGTATAAAAACACAGAGGTGGGGACCTGGCTAGGGAGTGAGAAAAGGCCTCAGGGAAGATGTAACATTTGATGAGGATATTAACGGAGTTGGAGTCTTCCAGGTATAGAAGGGGAGTATGACTTCTGAGACTGGGTGGAGGAACATGTTCCAAAGGATACAAATGTGACAGAACATGGCATGTCCAGAGACAAGTAAGTGGTGGTTGGAGCTCAGGATAAGTGATTTGGGGAGTGATAGAAAATGTGGGAACAAATGTAGGTGGGAACAGAATCACTTAAAGTAACTCAAATGAAGGGGTAAGAAAATGGGTTCAAATTAGGATGCACTGCTTTAGGTAAATATAGAATATGTATATTGAAATGACCAGTTAGCAGGTAGATATAGTCATATGGAACTTAGAACATGGGTTTGATTCTGATACAAATTTTGTGACTTATTGGTGAATTGGTATGAGTCAAAAGCAAAGCTATACATGATAATGCTTATAGAAAACTTATAAGAGCAGTGGTTCTCAAACTCCAGTATGCATTAGAATTATCTAAGTTGACTGCTAAAAATGCAAAGTGTGAACAGAAACATTTGAAAGAGGTGGGTGACTCGGTTGAGCCTCTGCCTTCGGCTCAGGTTATGATTCCCACCTCCCCCTTCTTGGATTGGGTTCGAGCCCTGCATCCATGTTGGGCTCCCTGCTCAGTGAGCAGCCTTCTTCTCCCCTCCCTCTGCCCTTCCCCCTGCTCATGCTTGTGTGCTCTCTCTCTCTCTCTAATAAATAAAATCTTTAAAAAAAAGAAACATTTGATAGGAAGTAGGAATGTCAAGGGGCCCTAAAATGGAGCTGGGAGGCCCCTGGGGAGGCTGGTCTTATGCAAGTTGACACCCGCATGAAACATGGAGCCTTTAGACTCTGCCACCTACAAACTGCCACAGCCTGTTGGAATTCTCAGAATGAGGCTTGTTTTTCTTTACTATAACTGAGCAACTAGCAAAGTAATGTATCGTGTGTGTGTGTGTGTGTATATATATATATATGTGTGTATACACCAGTGCTAATTATTTTTGCCTCTATAAACTTTGTCTTTCTGTTCCCTCCTTGGAGCACATTTCAGGCTTCTCCTAAATCTGTGTCTCCCGTATTTGAAGTCCTAAAGACCCCAAATAAACTTTTGGTTTGCTTTGCAGCCTCAGTTCTTTCTTGTTTGGCAAGAGTTATAAGCGTCACTTTTCTCCATCCTGATTCTTTATATTTGGGGATACATGCAAGACTCTACATTTTAATATGTGTTTATCTAAGGTTTGCACGTTAAGACGCAATATTGATGAAGAAAAGAGGGGCATGGATAAAACTCTGAAAACCATTTAAAGAGTAGCAAGCAGAGAAAAGAGGCAGTGGTGTAAACTGAGAAGACACTGGCCAAAGAAAGAAGAAACATCTAGATCCTGCTCCTGACTTTGGGGTACGCCAGTCAGGGGTCTTGTGCCCACTGAGCCAACCAACCATATAGCACAGTTCCTAGAGAACAGACAGGACGATGTGGGGTATTTACCACTGGGGAGGAAAGGGTTAAAGGGGGGTTGTAAGAAGCCTGGGGAAAGTTTTGAGTCCTTTCCAACCTCCCTGTAAACAGATTGTTGAAACATACTTGTGGGAAGAAAAAAGTTTTATTCATTTAGGGTCTTTTTTCTAACCAAAATCAGTATTGTAAGGTTTTGTTTGTAGCAATTGTTGACTGAGAAAAGAGGCAGATCTGAAGTAAAAGCATTTATTTGGTGTCTTAGAATTGCAGTTCGGGGAGCACAGATTTGGCCAGCAACCCAAATCGTGTCCCCTCAGGGAACAAAAGCGAAAGGCTTTTAAAGACAAAAGAAGATGCTGGTATATGTTGTTTACAAAGAATTTTGATTGGTGTTGGTGGCAGGAAACTAATCTTGGGCTGAATATAATTGGTTGCTAAGGCTATCACTAAGCAAATGTGCATTTACTGTAGCAAAGCAGCTGCAGGTGTTAGGTCTGAGTCCTTGGAGTATTTGCTGTTTGGCCCAGTTCAAAAGTTGATAGTTCCACCCAGTGAGGATGTGCATAAGGCCCACCACCTTAATGGCCTCCCAGCTCCATTTTAAAACCCCTGGATATAAGTGACCCCATTTCATTTCACCTTTCACACAACTTCTTTCAGTCTTTGTATTTCTAAAAATGTCTTCATTTTGTCCTTTTGAATTACACTTTTTCTTGGTGTACAATTCTGAGTTCATAATTATTTTCTCCCCAGCACTTTCAAGCTATTACCCCAGCACTTTGAAGCTATTTTCTTTTTTTTTTTTAAGTTTATTTTTTTAGTAAGTTCTACACCCAACATCGGGCTGAAATTCATGACCCTGAGATCAAGAGCCTCATGCTTTTCTGACTGAGCCAGCCAGGTGCCCCTGAAGCTATTTTCTATGGCCTTCCTTGTTTATGAGAAGTCTGTTGTATGTCAAGTTGTTAACTTGTAGGTAAACTGACATTTCTTTTTAGCTTTAAGATTTTTTTCTTTCATGCTTGATTTCCTAAAAATGTCTCTATTGCATATCTAGCAATAGACTTATCAGGTCGTTATTTTGTTGTATTATTATTATTATTATTAATTATATTATCATACTTGGTACTCAAACTATACTATCAATTTGAGTACTTTGATCTCTCCTCAATGGCAGAAAATTCTCAGTTAATATCTTATCACATATTCCTTATCTGCCATTGCCTGTATTCTCTTTAT